TCACTTCTCTTACTGAAGCCTTGCGTAACATTTCTCTAGAGAGTTCATCGCAAGCATTCCTAACTTTTTCTCTCAGATGATCCAAGTTAACAGAAGGTGTTCTGTAAACTTTATTCTTCAAAGTTTCCCACAAGAAAAAATCTAGTGGGGTCCGGTGATTTTGGCGCCCACTGTATCGGACCATTTATACCTATCCAATGTTCTCCATACGTTTCATTCAAATATTGTTGGACAATTCTTGCTTCATGCGGCGGAGCTCCGTCATGCTGGAAACACATGTTTGCTAGAAGCTGTAATGGCACATTTTCGAGGAGCACAAGAAGATGTTCTTGAAGAAATTGCAAATATTGCTCACTATTTAAAACTCCTTCGTAAAAATATGGACCAATCAAATGCCCGTTGATAATACCACACCAAACGTTAATTCCAAAATGTCCCTGGTTTTCAATAGGATTGACAAAATGTGGATTTTCAGTAGCCCAATTATGTTCATTTTTCTGCAACCGACACAAAAGTCGTCCATTTTGATACCAAAATTAGCTCTTAAATTGACGTTTTTATTACTGACACAAAAATAGGTATGTTGCTAGGCAACATATTTAGTTCCTAGGAGCTAAAGTTGAATTTTAGTTCCTAGGAGCTGAAGTTGTACTTTAGCTCCTAGGAACTAAAAAGGATCTACTGGACGTCATCAAGAATGAACAATATTGTGACGGTTGGTTATTTGGGTTGAGACGCATACCTGATTTGTTTCCGATTTCAGCAGATTTGGCATTTCATACCCATGCTGGAGATATAAATACACCTTATTATAGTTTAGTATTAGAATTATAGACATCTCAGTTGAGTATTTTTGTTTTGATCAGGGAAGCCTTCAGGATTTGCTTGATCTGTATTTCATTCGTTATTATCGGGATGGATAATTTGTTTTTGAACAATCACGGCAAGCAATAGTTTTTTTGTCTCAAACAACGATATTGTTTAGCTTCATTTGATTATCAAGTCAAACACAGTGTTGTATGGAGAGGAATAAATAATCACTATTATCATTGTTGATATGCTCACTAACCTAACATTTTCCACGTCTTGTTCCTATAGCTGGCACTGGCGCGGTATTTGCCATTAGAGCACCTGGTCCATACACAAATATGTCACTCTGTGCTTGTTTTTATATTGAAACTACAATTCGAACATCCTAGAAAACCTAACCTGCTGTTAATGCAGGTAGAATATTCTCACCACATGGATTATTTGTCAATATTTGTTGCATTGCATACATATGGCACGGCGTTGGTGGATACTTCATATGTTTATTTGAGTTAATTGTTTCGGTTGCAGAAAAAATAGCATGTTTCATTCGGATCAAAAGTGACTTTGTTCGACTCGCAAATTGTGCTTTCGCTCGGCTTCGCTAAACGCTCCGCCTCGCAAATGCAAAATTCCCTTGTCAAACAAAGTGTCACTTTTGATCCTAATAAAACAATCTACTATTCTTCTATTGGGCCTACCGTTGCTAACAAAACGGCTTTCGTCCGTCCACAACACATGCTGGAGAAACCGATTGTCATTGAACTCTGAGTTTTCCACCACTTGGGCAATGTAATTAACTCTCCGTTGTTGATGTTGATTTGAAAAGTGTTCTAAGTTATGAAGTTTATAATCGTGATATCCATTTTCTTTCAAAATATTTCGTACCGAACTATATTTCAAATTCAACTCACGACAGGCTTGACGAATCGAGTTCCTTGGATGGTGTTCAAAATACTCCAAAACAGTGGCAAAAGTATTGTCAGGCTTGACCCTTTTGACAATTTTCTTCCCCTTTCGAGATGACAATGCCTCGTTGTTTGCACGTAAATTACGTTCCAATCTTGCGAATATTTTTGAGTCTGGAATAATACGTTCGGGGTATCTCTGGGCGTATAACTGCACTGCACGTCTAGAATTCTTTTGACTTTCCCCATAAACAAATAACGTGTCAACTTTTTCATTGTGCGTAAACATTTTTCAGCCAGATGACACCACAATAATATTTGACAACCATTAGTTTGATTGTCGACAGTTGCTACTTTGCCATTTGTTTTCAAAGGCTACTTGTTTGAATCGTGACGAATGCAATTTTTTGATGATACTTTTTTTGAACAAATTTGCTTATAATTTTTTAAGGGAAGGAGATAGCAAATTTTTTTCCTCACGAAATTTGTTCAGTATAATCAGCTCTTTCCGAATATGCAAAAATATAGGTATGTTTCTGGGAAAAAATGATCGATGACGTCATTACTTCAGCTTACGAATTCAGAAAAATATGCGAATTAGGCTCAGAACGGACTTTATACAATCCTATTGAGAAACCTTTTTTCGGATTTCCCCGATCATCTCTCCTTCTCTTATAATAGAGCTGAGACATCGAGTTTTGCTCACCCTGTACAATAAGGTCAGCATTTTCAGTTCATTATAAATCATCCTGTAAGATAACTGTCAATTATATCTTCATTGAAGTAATATACTCAAATTATCTTCGAAGCTCATACTTTTCACGCCTTCTTCATCAATTTATCAAAATAATTAATTTTTCGTCAGATTCTGAGTTAGAAGTCAGGAACTCAGACAATTATTGATTTCCGGATGGCGAGCCGGATGGTTTTTTAGTTGAGATAGACGAGGAGATAGTTGTGCAATACTTGATACCTACTAATGAACACAATCATATATCTTATTTAGAAGCATTCATTTTATACCATTTTCTCACTTCCCTGTAAAGTTCAAATTATATCTCGAAATATATTCATGAGGTTGAAAGAGAAATTAGATTAATGCTATACAAAATCGGAGGTATTTCAAATATAGTATTTCAAAAATATATTTAGAGGAAAAACTCTTAGCTCTATAGCGGGCGAAAAGGGGGTAAAATGTATGCTGCAAATTAGTAAAACTATCTGATCGTGTTCAGGAAAGTAATTCACATAACATATTTCCATATTTCAACGAAATAATCATTCAAAAATTTAAGTTCCGAGCTGTAACTTGGAATTTAGATGATTCATCAAGAAGGGAGAAAAGTGATGACACCCAATAACCTAATTATATTACATCAGAGATATAGACTGCTCGCCAGTTTTCGCTGAATCAACGATCTCCAAAAAATAATAAAGAGGCAAAATTCAGACAGAATGGTTTACATCACAAATTGGCAGTACTAAAGAATCCATTTCAGTTGTACTTTCGGTCATGAGAAATGAATTTCGAAGCACTGAACATTTTCTAGAAAAAAAAAAGTGAATTCGATTTCAAAATCTATATAAAGAGATTTTCAATTTATCTTGCATCCTGATATCATTTTCAGGAAATATTGGTGAAATAAATGGCAATATTGGCGAGCAATGTACATCACTGAAACAATTCCTCACGGTCATCAATTGATCAACCAATCAACCAACCAACCAACCGACCGACCGCTCGATCCACCAATCAATCGGTCAAACCGAGGGTCAAACAGTCAATCAGTCAATCCAGTCAATCAGTCAATCAGTCAATCAGTCAATCAGTCAATCAGTCAATCAGTCAATCAGTCAATCAGTCAATCAGTCAATCAGTCAATCAGTCAATCAGTCAATCAGTCAATCAGTCAATCAGTCAATCAGTCAATCAGTCAATCAGTCAATCAGTCAATCAGTCAATCAGTCAATCAGTCAATCAGTCAATCAGTCAATCAGTCAATCAGTCAATCAGTCAATCAGTCAATCAGTCAATCAGTCAATCAGTCAATCAGTCAATCAGTCAATCAGTCAATCAGTCAATCAGTCAATCAGACAATCAGTCAATCAGTCAATCAGTCAATCAGTCAATCAGTCAATCAGTCAATCAGTCAATCAGTCAATCAGTCAATCAGTCAATCAGTCAATCAGTCAATCAGTCAATCAGTCAATCAGTCAATCAGTCAATCAGTCAATCAGTCAATCAGTCAATCAGTCAATCAGTCAATCAGTCAATCAGTCAATCAGTCAATCAGTCAATCAGTCAATCAGTCAATCAGTCAATCTATCAATCAACTTATCAATCAATCAAACAATTTATTTGATTTTGAAAACTACAGTTCTTATAACAATTATTTACGGCCATCCAATTGTAGGTATCTTCAGTAGCTTCCTTGCTAGTTCAAAAAAAATCCTCTTTGTTGATCTTTTTTTTCACGGCATTTTGAAACACATTGACTATCCAACTCGCTATCCAACATCTACTGTAAATGATGAAATGTCAAATAGCCTTTGGCAATTTGTCATATACATTCAATGTTACAAAGTATAGGTACATACATATGTACAACATTTCTCTTGATATTATAAAATCTCCATTGAAAATACGAGTAGAATTGTGTGCTACTCGGAATGCTATAATTTTATTTCAGAATGTGATGGTTCACAACGGTTCAAAATATCCTCGAAAATATCTATCGTCCTGTTGATTACAATTTTATTTTTCTCAACGCAATACTTTCCAACCACAATTCATAACTACAAAAAATAAAATAAAAATATTGAATTCATTCGCCGTTGCATGCATCAAAATCAAAGATATAAGAAAGCTCGTTAGAAAGGGAAGATCTCGGGGAAGATCGAATATTTCGATATTCACTATTCCTCAAGTAGGTATGTAACGTCTGATAAATACACGCCACTAGAAATAAAAATACTGATAAATATAAACAAGTTTATAATCCCTACTATAACCTGAAATGAATCACGCATGTAATAATTGTAATATATTTATTAAATATATAACAAGAACATTTTAAGTAGTATAAAATGTACATAATCCTTGAACAACTATACAAAACTCTCTTTGGAAATATATTATGATTTAAAGTACACTATACATAAATTTACAAAAATTATTCTAAAAAGTATCTATATTACAAATAAAATTAAAAGATACAACAACGATATATTTTTAATACAAAAATATATCTTCAAATTAAATAATTATTTAAAAAGGTACATAGACTGTTTCGGTTTAAAAAATATATTGTATTTTAAATACAATTTTATTCATCACAAATACGAACGGAATAATTCTAATGTACTTTAATACCCGTTAACGAAATTTTAGTGAATATATTGCGAACATTGTCATAGACGGAATTCGATGTATCAGATCACTATACATTTCTGAGTTATACAGTTGTCATAATGTTTGCATAATATTCACTAACTCTGCAAATCGTAGATTAAATAGGCTTTAGAACACGATAATTTCAAGAGATCTAGTAGGTCAATTAATACGAATCTTTAAGATTCATCAACTATCCGGACAATCCGACTGGACCTTTATAAGGTTTCATTGACATGATTAGCGAAAAATTTGTTCAAAAAATTTAAAGCTTTCGATTTCCACTAAACTAAGACTCAAACTGCCGGCTGCTATGGTCCATACTCGTGTACGATTTCCATCATCCTCTGTCGATTTTCTTCTGACCTGAATAACCAAAAACGAGGAATAAGATGATGATTGATGATTCGGTACGTTCATACACTTTTTTTATTCTCATCGTCGAAGAAATTGAGAGAACAGAATTTCGGTTCAATTTGGTCCTCATCATCACCATTTAGGTGATTCCACGACAATGACATAAAGAAAATGATAAGAGAATGGCGTCGATCGAGATGGCGTTGAGCAATAAGAAACTTGTACAAATGCAGTATTCGTACAATAGTTTTTGCTAGGGGTAAACCGACGTGGAATCCTGGTGTACAAACAACTGGAATTCCTTGGAATTTCCTGGATTTCATTGGAATTCCCTGGATTTCCTTGGAATTTTCTGGATTTCCTTAGATTTCCTTGGATTTACTTGGAATTCCTTGGATTCCTTTGGAATTCTTTGGATTTCTTTGGAATTGTTTGAGTGAAGTGCAGTATAATTCTGGTGTACAAGCAACTGGAATTCCTTGAAATTCATAGGAATTCTTTGGATTTCCTTGGATTACCTTGAAATTCCTTGAATTTCCTCGGATTTCCTGGGATTTCCTTGGAATTCCTTAGATTTCCTTGGAAGTTCCTGGAAATCCTTGGAGTTTCTTGGAATTCCTTGGGTGAAGTGCGGTATAATTCTGGTGTACAAACAACTGGAATTACTTGGAATTCCTTGTGAAATTGAAGTTTAATGTACACAATTTTGACCGCGGTTTACCCCTCGTTTTTTGCTGATAGATTGGAAAAAAATAAATTATTGAAAAGTCTTACATTTGTTGTTGCTGCTGCTGTTGGAGCTGGAAAGAGTCCAGATGTTTGTTGATTTCTCTGTGAACGTGCTCTGGCAGAACACCAACATTGGAAAACAAACTCCTCAACACATTCAGCTCCTCCGACAGTAACTCTATCCTCTTCTGAAGCCTCTCGTTCTCCTTGATAAGAATTTTTACTTTTTCCTCGGTCTCTCTAGTACGCACCTTGGCCTTTTCTCTGCTCTTTCTCACAGCAATATTGTTGCGTTCTCTCCTCCTCCTGTATTCGTCACTGTTTTTATCACAGGGTTTCATATTTTTTCTAGCTATATTATGTTGATTAAGTAGAGCGGCCTTGTTTTTCATAACATTCATATTCAGCTGATGATGCATGACAGGACTGGGAGTGAGGGTTGTAAATGTAGCACCGGGAGTTTGGGGATAAGTACCGGGTAGGTAGCTGTTGGGTAGGAGATTACAGGACTGTCTTCTGTATTCCTGAGGATCCACTGGCTCTTCCTTGATGCTTGGCGATTCACTATTGATAGAGCTATTTGAGTCACTATTAGAGTTTTGGTTTGTCGAGTAAGTAGCACCACTGTGAACTGGTTGGGGCATGTATGCCAAGGTAGTCCTGGGATAATTATTATTATTGTTATTGTGCACCCCCATGACTTGCCTAGCCTGCAGGTTCTGTATGTGCTTGCCTTGACTTGACAAAATTTCCGTAAACAAACCATCACTGAACTGAGAATCGTCTATCAAGTTTTGGAGGTCCAGCGAAATCTCCGGGGTGTTCAAATCACTGAGTTCGCCGTGCTGCTGGTACTGTTGTAACTGGTGCTGTTTCAACAATGCTTGGGTCTGCTTCGAACTACCATTGTTATTGTTAAGGGTGGTAAGATTATTATTGTTCATAATTACAGTCTTTTTGACATCCTGATTTATGACCGCACTATTTTGTTGGTGCTGCTGGTTGTCGTACATTTGAGGAGAATCCATTTTTCAAGTCCGCAAACTTTCACTTGGTGGTCCACTTTCACTTTGCCGAAACTCGAATTTAAATTTCGAATTATGTCACGCACAATTCACTTTCCAGTCTCATTTGCATTTTATTTCATTTTATAATCCAGTGAATGACTATACGAATGTGCTTGTCCTTTCGGATACATAAATATTGCGAGTAAGTACCTAGCACTTCCAACTTTGATACCCGACCGAAACGATTGCCCGGAATGAACTGTCACTGGAGCGCAGCCTGCTTGGGTACCACACGAACGTGCGCTTGCCCAAAGCCAACCTGATACTGAGCGAGTTAGACGCGGTCCCTTCAGTTTGTAGATACTTTCTTAGCTCATGCGCTTTGTCTCTTATCGAGGATTATTCGCTGACGTACTTTTTGAAAGTGAAACACCGCGATTTGGTTTCATGCTATATAACAGAATTTAAACGTAACATTTTTAGGATATTCCACGATCGACGCATTGTCGCTATTGTTTCTTTCTTCAGAAATCAGAACCCTGTTATTTTGATATTCTTGATTGACGCAAAATCATGAAGATATCAATATATGATATGTATATATGTATGTCGTATGTTTTTTCTGATAGTGAGTTAAAATCAATAATAAGAATGATTGATGACAACAATTATTAAATATATCGAAATTTACGTACATTAAGTATTTCATTTTGTTAGAAAAATATTCTACTATTTCCATGTGGTTTATATTGATTTTACCTTGTAGTACCCTCCTTTATTTCACTATTGACTATTGGATTCTTGTTATTCTATTAAGTACTAGGCTGGTGTTTTCCAATATGGATCAGTCGATTCGACTTCAAAATTGGTTTCAGAGAAAAAATCTAGGGAGAAAGAGTATGACATTTTGTGAGACCTTCTAAAGAACACTATTCAAAAATCAGTCAAGAAGTTGTGGCTGAAAAAACGACCTATCGAAAAACTCACCTGGTATAGGTACGCATCGAGGTACGCATGATATTGTGATTCAATAATAATTATTTATACACCAAGGTAGTACCCAGGGGCTAAGATTATGTCCCGAGGCTTCAACGGAGGGGTATGAGGTCTTTACTACCAAGGTTAATATATTTTTTCTACTCCTTACTCGGTAAGTACTTCATTTTGATACTGATTTGAGGGAGGAAAACACGTTCTACCTCCCTAGGGAGGTAAGTAAATATTTACCTCCCTAGGGAAGCAAGTTAAATAAACTTCATAATTTAACCTAAAAATTGAACTCTTTATTTTAAATTGACATTTATAGTACAATTTGAAAAATTACAGTTTGAAAAATGTGGGGAAACCTCTTGCAGCTGTTTGGACACTTCTACTGTTGTGCTTATGTTATCAGAAATTCTTGTTACAGCGCTGGTCAATGTGGTAGGCAGATGAATAGCAGATGAATTTGAATCGCTGTTATTCTTGTTATAAAGAATTTTGTTTGCCACCTCGTTCTTATTGCAAAGACTATCAGCAACATAACCTTCAGCAACCGTCTCCGACTTCCAGCCCCCATGTCTTTTAAGAGCTAAAACACTTGAACCAGTGTTAGCTAATAATGTGGCAGACGTTCTTCTAAACGAATGGCCGGTATAAGCTTCAGCGTTAGGCAGTCTGAGAAATTTTGCTATTTTTGTGGGAATAGCTGAAAAAGTGTTCTTTCCCACAGGCTGATTCAAGCATTTGCCTTCTTGGTATCTCAAAAAAAAGCGTTGTTGGGGTCTTTCAACCAACGATCTTATTTTGAGATATCTTTTAAAAATGTTTAAATGGCAGATTTTACTGTCTTTGTCTGCAGTGATGGTGAATCTTCTAGATGTACCATTTTTTGAATCAGGTATTTTGATTATAATTAAATTTTCCATTTCCTGGACATTCTCTACACTCAGATCGCATAATTCTTGTGAGCGGCATGCTCCAGCAATCCCGACGACCATCACTACCTTCATTAATAAAAAACTTCTATCGTCGGCTTCTGTCAAAAATTTTTCTATTTCTTCTCGCGTGAAAACTTGAGACTTTTTTGGCTTATAGCCATCATTTTTTCTCTTCAAAAACGCCTTTAGTTTAAGGAATTTGGAAATGTCTACATTGTCTTGAATGGATAACGTCGATTTTAGCATCGAATACTCACTCCATAAACTTGCAGGGGTAATGCTTTCACCACTTGCAATATTACTGCACCAAGCCTTGAAGTCCTTGTAACACCGATTGTACCGTTCCTTCGATTTCTGAGGTAATAGAGCAGCACAAGCTGCATTCGCAACTGCATCGATATCCATTATTTCGATTTTTTTAATAAAATGACACTGACAGAACATTTGTTCGATTATAAACAATATGAATTCCATAGCGATCAACGTGTAACACTAGGAAACCTGTCATACATACAGGGTTTTTCAGTTAGATTAGTCAAATTATATAAGTAATTGAAAAACATTTTTTTAATCTAAGGGAACTGGAGTAGAAAAAATATAATACAAAACTCGGGAGGCAGTGTTCTTGACCAGTCTCGGACTATTTTGCAAGCCCTCGCAATCGCTCGGGCGCAAACAATGTCCTCGACTGGTAAGTATCACTTGCCTCCCTTGTAGTGTAAATAACTATTTTTCACCATTAGAAATATATTCCAATCATTTTAGTCCTGTGAAACCGAAATATAGACCTATTGTCAATATGAAAGTACTTATTTTCAAAACTTATAGCAATGACCATGACAGCATATGGCAAGTTGTTATTGATAAATACCTACTAGATTCGAGTGTCATTCCTGCGAATCTCTGATCAGACCAGTGCATTGGGGTTAATTACAATCGTATATTCATAATTCAGAAGAGATTCTCAATGTTGATTTTCAAAATGCCTCATAACGAGTCTTCAACAAATATAAAATTCTCCCGTCGACCCCTATCTATTTGTATAAAATTCGGATTTTTGTTTGTCAAAATTCATCTTCCTTCACTAAAATTCATGCAATACACATGAGCTAGTATTCATTTCGTTCGGGTCTGAACTTCGACATCAAAAGATTTAATCAAATGGGATATAAAAAATCCCCCCGCTATGCAGGAGCCAATGTTCAATCAACTCTCAGAAAAAAAAAAGAATCCACGATCAAAAAAAAAATAAAGAGCTGAAGCATTTTCTACTTGATAACTGCTTCTACTGCATGAATCAATTTGATAATGCCATCAGGTGGTATTGATCTTATGGAAATTATTATCTTGGTATTTTTTGATTATTGCATTTTCGCAAACTATTACACGTTCCTGTTTGAGCACTGAATCTTTGCGTGCAAATATTTCTCACAGAGTTATCCTACATAAATTGTTACACCTTTTTACAATAGCAATAAGCGTTACGTGAAAATTATTCCTGTCGTTTGATTGTTGCTTTTACTACGTACCGTGGAAACCTGCTGTAAATAACTCACCTCATGTACATACTGTATACCCAAGAGAGGGGAGATAAATCTCATATTGTCATATCTTCGGATTCTGAAAGTTGAAGATGGTAGTATGATGGATAGGGGGATGAACATGTATGAAATTGTTTTGACGTTCCAAAATGGCAGTTATACTTATGCTCCTTATACAGGGTGTCCGGAGATAAAACCGACAAGACTTGTGGGGTTATAGGGACTATCGATATGATTGCAAAAGGACATAAACCAATGTCCAAAGCCGCTTCGTTATTGACATACAGAGTGATTTGTGGATTTTGACAAAAAATTCAATCCGTCATATCAAATACAGGGTTTAACCGATTAGATTCAAATTTGGAACACGAATTACACTGAAAAGCATCAACAAGTAGCCCTTTGATCGAAACCAATATCAGGACCGGAATGATATTTTTCCCTTATGTTGAGTTATTGTGAGAATAACTCACCCTGTATAATAATAACAAAAAATTTCAACTCAGATTCGACATCTACGGTAAAAATTGTTCAGGAATTTGTTGAAAGATCTCTTGGCACTATCTTAGTTATTCCGTAATTTATTATTATTTTAATTTTTTTCTTTCAAAATTCAATTATTGTCGGATAAAGTACTATCGAAATTGGTAATATAATAAATATTAACGAAACCATGACATGACTATCGTTATTTTGAAATAAAATACTCTCATTACCCGAAAAAACTGAAAAATAAATTCGTATCAGGACTGGAATGCGGTTTTCTATGATTATATTCCTGTAAGAATAGATGATCTAGTATAACAATGATCTGATCGCAGATTCGAAATGCACTGAGAAAAGTTGAAAAAAATGATCGGATTGAACTTTCAAATAATAAATCCGTATCAGTACCTTATAATGTTTGTGTATAAAGAATACTAGGCTTGTGTCAAATTCAGAATTTCATTATGGAAAACCATTGTTTACCCGTCATCAGCGTTTGTTTTATTGGTGTTCATTCATTATTCCAGTGTTTTTAAGATCAAACTATAGTTCTGAGAGTGTGTGTGTTATTGAAAACTATTGATGTACTAGGTTAGCTAACATGACCAAACAAAACACTCATTCCAGTCCTGATACGAATTTATTCTTCAGTTTTTTCGGGTTATGAGAATATTTCATTCTACTCCGATTCATGAACTGATTGAAGAAAATAACGACATTACGGAATAACTAAGATGGTGCCAGGAGATTTTTCAACAAATTCCTATACAATTTTCACCGTAGATTGCGAATCTGAGTTGAAATTATGGTTATTATGATACAGGGTGAGTTATTCTAACAATAACTCAACATAGGGGAAAAATATTATTCCGGTCCTGATATTGGTCTCGATCAAAGGGCTACTTGTTGACGCTTTTCAGTGTAATTCGTGTACCAAATTTGAATCCAATCGGCTAATCCCTGTATTTTATATGGCGGATTGAATTTTTTGTCAAAATCCACAAATCACTCTGTATCTCAGTAACGAAGCCGTTTTGGACATTCGTTTATGGCATTTTGCAATCATATTGACAGTCCCTATAACCCCATGAGTTTTGTCGGTTTTATCTCCGGACACCCTGTATATCAATTTCCTAAACACCGAACAAATCCCAAAAAGTTGGCCGTCCACACTATTGTCCATGCTTCATAAAAAAGGATCTAAAAATGATCCTAAACTGGTCAACATTGATAACGTCGTGGTCCAAAATATAGCCTGAATTCAAAATAGAATAGCTCACGAATTTCCTTACCAATTTAAAATCTGTTTTCACCGATGATTAGCCCTCGATTGTTGCATTGCATACATATGGCACAAGGCATTGGTGGTTACTTCACATATTTATTTGTTCCTGTTGCAGAAAAACTAGCACGTTTCATTCGGATCAGAAGTGACTTTGTTTGACTCGCAAATTTTGCTTTCGCT